GGACTTGGCGGAGGCAGAAGAGGAGCCTTATGACACGGCTGCTAATGACACATTTGCTCACACTGCGGGTCCCGTGCAACGCGCCTCACAAGCCAGCAATCCCAAATCTGCCGAGATCGAAGTAGCTGCTGCTTTCCTAGACGTCAATCCAGAGGCGCTTATGGTAGGAGGCCCAGAACTAGCTGCGAAGCTTGCCCATAGGGCGCAAGCATTTGGGAAACTTCAGTCTGACCTCTCCTTCTTTAAACTCAGTCAGGAACAAATGAATCAAGTGCAACAGAAGAAGTTTGGGCAGTTGCAGATGAAGTTGGAAACCCTCACCGAGGCAAACAAGAGCCTCATCTCCGAAAACGAACACAAGTCTTTGGAATTGATGAGATCGCAGGAAGCGATGGCGGACTTGAGGTCCGAAAACTTTTCCTTGCATGAAAAGGTGTCTGAGTCTGAGAGTTCCAAAACGGATTCTAAAGCCGGCATCAAAATCAAGGAACATGAAATTGGCCAGCTTAATGAAGCACTCGGAGCACTCACCCACTCTAATGCCGAGCAAGGGCAAAAGATCAGCGAACTCACGCGTGAGTTGAACGATGCCACCAATGAAAACTTTTCCTTCAAGCTTCAGTTGAGTAAGACTTCCAATGAGCTTGAGTATACCAAGAACCAGAAAGAGTGGTATGAGAGCCTGTTGAGAAAGACACAAGAGAAGTACACAGACCTACTCAAAAGGCTTGACTCGGACTCTTTGATAGATTCCAACAAAATCTCGTCCTTAAAGACTCAAAACGAAACTTTGTCATCTCTTAAAAATAGCTTGCTGGACCAAGTAAATCAACTTCAGCAAACCCTCGAAAAGACCAAGTCTATCAAAGCAGATTTGGAGACGAAACTAGAGATTCTGAACTCGCGCTTCACGAAGGAGATGGACATCAAGAAGGAGACAATAGAGCTTTTGAGCGTTCAGCTTCAAGAAAAGAATGATAGGATCAGCCAGCTAGAATCATATGCAGACGATATCAAAACATCAAGTGCTGACTCGCTTGAATCTTTGCAACGCCAAGTCATCGAGAGAGAAGACAAGATCATTGCGTTGGAAGAGAAGCTCAAGCGAGCAGAAGAGGCATTGGATTTTGAATTACACAAAGAAACCCAATTACCCAAACTAGCGCCCTCTGCAGAGCTCATTCTACAGGAGGGTAACCTGGGAATTTCTCTTTCGACCCTTTATACCGAGTTCAACACCGTCAAGAAGCAATTGATTGTGGAAAAATCTCAGAAGGAAAAACTTGCAGCTGAGGTTCAACACTTCATTGCCGAGTTAAATTCTAAAAAACCTGCGATTGCAAATTACAGAAATAGGATTCTGTATTACGAAGAGACTCTCAAAGACGTTCTTACAAAAATGGAGTCCATTCGCATTGAGAAGATAGAAAGTGAGAAGGAATGTATCAGGCTAAGAAGCAGATTAGCATCTCATGAAATAGAGATTCTGACCATCAAGCAATTGTCCAAAGATTTGGGAAGACAGTTGTGTTTCTACCTTATACACTCTAAGATTCGAGATGGGAATGAGGATCCATTGAATCTGAGCGAAAAGAAAGCCATCGATCAAATCCTTGCGAAGAGCGGCAACAAAGACGCACATGGTGAATCTGACACTGATCAATTGATCACTGAAAGGTTGCTCGGCTTCAGTAGCATCATTGAACTTCAAAAGAAAAATGAAGAGTTAACTATTGCAGTGAGGCTGCTTGGTAAACAACTCGAGGAAAAGGATGCTGAACCTCATGGGTTTGAAGCCGCCGCCGTAGAAGAGGCGAAGGAAGCAATTTTGACACTTCAAAGCGAACTAGAAAGTCTCACAATCAAGTACGATGCTGTTGTCAAGGAAAGAGATATGATGAAATCGCTCAGTGGAAATTCATTACCAGGTGATAACAATGCAGATGTCAAGATTCTTCGGGAGGCTAATGCTGATCTTAAATTGAGAGTCAAACAAAGCGAAGAAATGTTCAAGACAATAAAAGCACAATCAGAGACAAAGCTCAAACAGCTCAATGATCGCTTGCTTGATTCCAAATCTACCAATGAAGAATTAAGCACTCAGTTGAGTGCAGCAAAGCACTCTGTCGAGATTTCGGAAAGCAGACTTGAAAACTCAAACAAGTTTCTTGACAACGCTCGGAAGGAGATTGAACACTCTAAAAAAGAGACAATTTTTTGGAAAACTCAGGCGTCTAAACAAGAGGACCATCTTGTGAAAAAGTCCAACGAGTTGCGTGACATTGAGCATAAGCTCCTGGTGTCTGTTAGCCTTCAAAACACTCTTCAGACAGAGAAGGAAATGTGGCATCGTGCTCAATCCTCGTTACTGGATGAAATCCTGACTTTGAAGAAGGATAAAGATCAGCTTTATTCTTTCGTGCTTAATTTACAAGCTCTTCTCAAAGAACGGGAGGCCTCAAGCACAGAACTCTCCAAGAAGTTATCACAAAGCATCGAAAATTATCAGAGTTTACAGGAAAAGATCAATGACAAGGAAGATAGAATTCAGACCTTGTCAAGCCAGTCCGATATGGCATTAAAAGCTCAAAATGCCAAATTGGAGCAGGTCAACGAGCTCAGTCAGAAATTGTTGGATGCTAGAAGCAAGATTTCTGAAAAGGAAGGTTTGATTGAAAGCCTTCAAAACAAATTGAAGTCGGGAGAATTCAAGAAGTCGAACTCTCGCTTGATCCCTCAAGATATGACGCATGTTTCAGAGAGAGATGGCACGCCTATTCTTATTTCAGAGTACAATGATCTCAAAGATGCTCTCAAGGCTGCCGAGGCTCAGGTAGATGAGTTCAGCTCTATCGCAAAGTCAGCAGAAGATGCTCTTATGAAGGCTTCTGCTTCTTTTGATGAGTTCAAAGAATCCTCTCTGATAAAATTCACTTTGTTGGAAGATGAGAAGAATAGTCTTCTGAAAGAAGCAGAGACTCAAAAACAGCAAATTTTAAACCTCCAACATCAGTTACAAGAACAAGGTTCGAAAACTTCATCAGAGATTCAAGATTTGCAAACAAGATTGCAGGAGAAATCTTCGAAGGCAGAGTCATACGATGACATGAAGTTAGATTATGAGAAGAAGATTCATTTGTTGACTCAGGATTTGAACAACCAAGTGTCTATGTCGGATGATCTTCAAAGACGCTATGAAGCGAAATTGTCTGAGGCTGATCTGTTGAACTTCCAAATTTCTCGGCAAAAAGAAGAAATCAATGAGCATGCTGTCCAATTGACTGCTCTTAAGTCAAAGCTCAGTGAAGCAGAAGCAGAATTGGTGCTCAAAGAAGACCGCATTAAGGAGTGTCTCTCGGGACAGCAAGATGACTTGCAAAGCACACAGATCAAACTTCGGGATTTACAGTACCAATATGACCTTGCATTGACTCAACTTGAATTGCAAAAACCATCCTCCGAAAGTGATGTATCTACATCGAATGATGATTTTAGGCAAGTTTTAAGCTACTTACGTGCCGAAAAGGATTCTGCCGAGTCTAAGGCTGCAGTGGCGACTGACGAGGTGGCTCAACTCAAAGTACAACTCGAAAGTGTCTCAGCTGAATTTGAAGCCACAAAATCGCAAATGTCTCGATTACAGTCAATGAAAATAGAGCTCGAAGATGCTAACAAAGATCATGCACGTCTAATGGAACAGTTGGAACAACTAAACATTTTACGTGAAAGTAACAGAACATTGAGATCAGAGAATCGTTCTTTCCTTGAAAAAATTAACAGATTGGAAGCAGAAATTGAGCAAATTTCTGCAAGAGCTCCTGAAAATGACGATAAGATGCAAGTTGACGTTCAAGCTCAAGAGTTGAATCTTTTGCGCGAAGAAAATGATCGTTTGAAGAATCAGGCGGACAAGAATGAAGAGCTCGAAACTTTGAATCAACGATTTACTAGGCTCAAAAGCGAGTATAACACCAAACTTTCTAATCATCGCAACAAGAATAAAGAGTTGGAGAGACAGATGACGGACATCAAATTACAACTCCAAAAGACCGAGGAAGAACTTGCCAAACTCAAGTCCACCCATAACAGTGTTGTCGATGCTTCATCAGTTACGTCGCAATTGGAACAATCCCAAAAGGACAAAATTGAGGCTGAGAAGAAGTTCACTGACGAGATAATGAGCTTGAAGCGCAATTTTGAAAAGCAGAAAGTAGATGCTGAATCAGCGTTCCAAGCTAAGTTGGCTGAAGTCACTTCAACTGCTTCTTCTGTGGGCATTTCCGAAACCCAAATCAAAGAAAAGATCAATGCTGAATGGAAACAGAAGTTGGAGAAGGCTACGGCTGACTTGAAGAATAAGTTCGAGAATGATTTGAGCAAAGCAGTGGAGCAAAGAGTCCAGAAACGTCTTCTGGAATTAGAGAAAGATGAAAAGAATCTGAGCGAGATTCAAGACCGCATTAAGAAAGAGTATGAGACTCAAATTGACGTCTTAAACCAGAACTTCGAGAAACGGTTAGCTGACGAAAAGGCTGGCGCAAAAAAAGCTGTCGGTACGATGTATGAGCTAAAGCTCAAAATGTTGAACAAAAAGCTTGAAAAATATGAAAAACAAAAGAGTGGAAAGTCACAGGAACAGAAGCAAGAAAACAAAAAATCGGTTCAAAATACTCCAAAAAATGAAGTGAAGGGGTCTCAAGATGTGCCCTCGGATATTGTCCAGACAAAAGTAGGGAAAATAAGCGGTGAGCCCTCCGTCGAGAAGCCTACTTCATCCCCACAACAGGAAAATGATTCCGGAAAGAAAAGACCCTTTTCTCAAGGGAACCCTCCAAACGTGACATTCAAGAGATCGAAAGACTGATATCCGTTACTGTCTAAAGCTGGCTTCTGTGGGGAAGCGGATGAAGCAGATTAGTCTGATCATTGTTAATCTTATATAGACATATGGTTGATGAATTGCAAGAAAGACAATTGAGCGGCGAATCCTAGTAAAAAATTCAGTTCACGATGAGGATATTCCATCCATTAACGTGGCTTCCATGATTTTTAAACGTCACATAGTCCCCCTCGTTGTTCGGAACAATCACAATAGCACCATCGATGCAAAAGCGTCTTCTGCTGATAGTCTCATTCGGACCTAGTGTCAATCTTATCCTCAGATGCTTGTCCACTTTGTCATAAAAAACTCTTTGATCGGTGATGTGATTTCCGTCATTGTAGACTTCCTTCATTATGTCCAAAATGTAGTTGCCATTATTTTGCGTTTGAAAACCAACAAGATATAAATCAGAATTGAATATGTCACCTTTGGGCAGAATTTGAAAAGAAGGCTCGAACTTTTGAGAAGGCGTCACCACCAAGTATGCAAACGGACCTTTGTGAGTGATTCTTGAGCCCGTATCATCACTGATCACCACATCACCTCTGTACTCTTGAAGCTGTTTCAAATTTTCATGAGCAGCAACTTTAAATCTACTTGTCCCATGCTTCCTCATTTCCTCTGTATCACTGTCGGCCACCAATGAGGCATGGAAAGCCCACGAGGCGACTACGACAAACAATACGATGTTCGGTAGAAGTTGTTGCCTGTCTGTGTTCTTAAAAAAATATGAGCCAAGTGGGAATTTTGCTTGGTATAGATTCAATGGCCTCGTGCTTTCTTCATCATACTGAAATAATCTCTGTACGGCTATCCGCTCATCAATAATCCCAAGAGAAAGCGCAAGTGAATTTCCCGTTCCAGCAGGCACAACAAATATTTTTATTTGCCCCATATCCACCTTTGAAAGTGAGTTGACAAACTCGCTAATGGAGGTATCCCCAGCGATGATGATCATCAAAATCGGTCTACCGTTGCTCTGCAAAGTCGACGAAAACTCATGGATGGAAACCGACGAAGTAGTCGCAACATATTTGTGTTTTACAAGAAAGAGATCATCAAAGAGTGGTTGAAGTATTCTCCCGTAGAACCCAGCCTCTTTCGTGCGAAGTTGTGATCCCGACTTTGTAGAGTCCAAGACATAAACATCATTTTGATTTAAAAGCAACATATTTCTATCGACTATAGGGCATTCGGCTTCAACGGAGGATCTACTGGAGCTAAATTGAACTCGTGGGTTCCCATCCTGGTTAATAAATTCCACCGTGGTTTGAGTGGATTGCTCGCAAAGAATTGCAGTCATGTTGTCGTTCGTGAATTACCTTCATCCCATCGTTACCGTTGGGTCAATTTGCACACATGCAGGATATCTCAATATGTCCGATTATGCACAGAACTGTGGCCGATCACCATCAGTAATCATCACAGACCATGAAAGCCAAGGTTTCAGTCAATCGGTCCATGAGTCCAAGCTATCTTCTTGAATAAGGATTTTTGTTTCCTTGACTATAGTTTGATTGGTGGTGATTGTTTTGATGTTGTCTCTGGTAGTTCTGATGACCACCTTGATGACTGTGAGCATTGAAGTTGTTGCCATGGTGACTACTTTGGCTTGAACCGCCATTATTGTAGCCCCTGTTGTTGTGTTGACTTCTTTCGTAACCAGTGTTACTATATCCACTGTTGTTGTATCCACCGTTGTTGTATCCACCGTTGCTGTATCCACCGTTGTTGTATCCACCGTTGTTGTATCCACCGTTGTTGTGTTGACTGTGGTTGTATCCATTGTTGTTGTATCCACCACTGTTGTATCCACCGTTGTTGTATCCACCGTTGTTATATCCACCGTTGTTGTGCCCACCATTATTGTAGCTGGTATTGTATCCACTATTGTAGCCAGTGTTATTGTACCCGTGGCTTTGATTGTGGCTTGCGTTGTAGTTGTTGCCGATGTTGTTATTTCCATGATTGTTGTATTCATTGTAGCCTTGTCCGTTTCTGCCATGAGTATTCCCTCTTTGGTGATTGTGATGGCCTTGGTTCGAGTTATGACCCATGGAATTTTGAGCAACTTGATTTGCTGCAGAACCTCCCTCAATCATTGCTCTATATCCTCCGTGGCGCATAGAGAACATCATGAATTCCTGCTTCCCTGCGGGGCCCTCGTTAACATAATCTGAAGTATTTTGGAAGCGGGGATTGAACCTTTGCCTGCTTGTAATTGAGTATTTGTCCTGATCACTCAAAACTTTGTTGTGAGAAATGTAACCGTTCAATAACATTGACTTCCCGAAGGTAGTTTTAGGAAATTCATACCAGCATGGTAAGAAATCTGAGTTCTTCACGTTAGGCAAGTCGCCCTCTTTCAAAGGAAACACCAACTCTCCATTCACCTCAAATTCTCCTGTTGACTTGACTATACCAGCCAACCCACTGATTGCTGATTTGAAACATACTGACTTTTCATCATCAAAGTGTCGTTTGAATCTCTCGTAATTTTTGTTTTTACTCGAGATGTATAGTTGGGCAGACTTGTTGGTATTCCTTTCTGTTTCTGCATCAGTCAAAAGAGGGTATTTTGCCTGAACGGCAGTGAGAAGCCGGTTTTGATCGATGAAAGGCAATAAAGCAATTCCCTGCCAGCTCATTTTAGCTCCATTCATATCAATTTGGAAGTCCTCGGGATAGAAATCAATGATTTCACTGCTGGGCTCGCTCATCAATCCTCTAAAAACTTCCGGTAATGTATGGCCAGAAGCAGCAGGCAAGACGGCCATAAGCTGCTCGTAGGGTCTGAACGGTTGGCCTAATTCGAACGAAATTCCTTGTTCTCCAACAACATCCCTGATGTCAACAAAGTCGGCCGCAAAAGGTGCATAATGATATGGATAATACCATTGCCAAGACGGACACCCCTGGTAATAGTACAAGAGCACCCAAGAGATACCCTCCAAATAAGATCTTGCAACATCCTTTCTAATTTGGTTTATCTCTTCATCTGTCTCGACCTGAAACTTGGTCTTGTAGTATCTGTCTCTATACCCAGTTTCCCAAGTGCGCACATTGTCTCCTTCATTGTCCGATCCAGAATCTTCATTTGCCTTTGTAGTGCTGGCCAACAGCTGATCCTTTTCTGTGTCAGCTTTCCCCTCTTCAACTTCTGGTTTTGGGGTTTCGGACTCGCCGCTTAAAAGTTTTTTGAGTGCAGCTGCAGCATCTGCATTTGCCATATTCGCTTTGGTGATTATATCACGATTTTGTACAATGTCTTTATTCGAAAGCTGCGCGTATCCTTCAACCATTTTGCCGGAAGTGTCCATCAAGGGCATGTTCATGTCAGCAGTTAAGGGCGCCTTTTCTTTACCCTTTGAAACTGATGGCAAGTACTGCTTTTTCAAAGTTTTTTCCTCCAGCTCGGCCCATCTTCTCTTCCTACCATTGTTTTGGAATCTGAGGTCATTCTCGCGTCGCTTTCTGAAGATATCTTCTTCTTTTGTCGATAAAACGGCTAAAAGCTGCTCGACACCCTCTAAGTTGAGTTTTCCGTCGCATGTTATGTAGTCACGGAGTCTTGGAATCACTTGTTTCCAGCAGCCGATCAAGATGTCGATTCCGTTATCACGCACACTAAGAGCAGGCATGTGAGGCAAAAAGTCGTTGCCGACAAAAAAACACATGAAGACCCAGTCATCAATAGCCCGTTCCAAATCCCATGCGATCGACATTTTCTGTTTCAACTCGACCTCTAGATACTCTCTGAGCACATTCACGTGAAGCCACAAAAACGGTTTGCGCGCGTCTTGCTCGTCGAGTCTTTCTTTTTGTTCGGCGGTCATCAGGAGCTGAGCTGAAACCCCCATGCGCCCGTTGCCTTGCGCAAATACATCTTCTCTGAGAACCCTGAAGTGAGGCTCATGGGTGGCAAGACCCAAAAAAATGAGGTCTGCGTCTAGTCCATAGATGCAGTGCTTGGTGTTTGGATCGTATTCGGGGTCCAGTCTCTGTGATCTGATGAAGCTCATCAATTTATGCTCACCTTCACCAGGGACAGTGGCATCGCTTATGATGACCTGGAGATCTTTCCATCCAGGATCCGACGCCAACTTGTATGCGACCCAATACCGAAGTGCTGCCGCAAGTCCGTCCATGAACGGAGTTCCGGGCGTGATGGCATTAGTGTCCCACTTTCTCTTCCCTTTGATCGAGTCGTCGATAGACTCGCCTCGAGCTTCGCATTCGAGAATTTGTCTCTCTTTTTCCTCATTGGCTATTTTAGCTTCCTGCGCCGCGCGAAATCGACGAGCTCGTTGCTGGTTCATTTTAGCTCTGGGTGCCACGCCGTCAACAGCGATCACAAGGACCTTCCGCGGTCTGGCCATCATAAGCACTCGGTCTGTGTATTTAAATACATCCAAGAACATTTCATCCTCAGTTTCGGGAGCCGGTTTGTGCTCTGGGTGGGAGCATGGATGGACGATACCATTCATATCTAAGTACAAATTGTCCAACTCTCCGTTAGGATTGGGGTCTGAATACTGGGGCACTTTGCCATATTCCGCGTCCGAGGGCGTTTCCACCACCGGGGAGATGATTTTTGGGTATTTCTTAGAAAGCCATCTGAAAAGTGCCGGAACTCCCATGGTATCTTGGGTATTTCTGTGGCAATGTGGGACGGAAGGAAAGGTTTGCGAATTTGTCTACGGTGTTTTTCTCTTCTCGCTTTGCGCTGTTGTGTATATGTAGGTTGATGCGTATCAATCCGGAGAAGAGGTGCGATGGTAAAAAGAAAGATTACTCGGGGGAATGGAGATGCCGACTTTCTGTGTGCACTCGCCCAGCTTCCTATTTATTTCTTGAGTCATCACGATTCTTCTATTTTTCATCCTTTGAGAACTCAATTGCAACAATGGATTCCTTTTTTTGTCAGGTGTTGCACCTAAGGAACAAGCACAATTTAAAACCTCTTGACTCACAGGCCCTGCGCCTCGATACATTATGTAGAGAAAACTGGAAAATTACTTGTTTCCTTTGCCTGGCCATATTTGGTATATAGCTGTATTCAGCTGATGTTCACTGATCTCTTAAGGCGACCTCTCCTATCTTGTACATTTCGCCGTGTTGAATCTATGTCAGCACTGAAAAGGTCTTCGTGACTGAATCAGCTTGTAGTGCACTTCTCTTTGGCCTTGCTTACAGGCAAAGATAGTAAAGTTGAATGCGATCACTGGAAGAACAGCCAGGCCTCCAAGGAGGCGAGTCATCCTCTATCTAACAACAAACGTCAAAAAATAACGACAACTGCAGGATTCGAACCTGCGCGGGCAAAGCCCAAAAGATTTCTAATCTTTCTCCTTAACCGCTCGGACAAGTTGCCTTGATATAACTTTTGTGGCAGCAAATAGAATAAGTGAGCGCATACCACCTTTAAAGGTGATCCAGTTTTGTATCAAGACGCATCGAAACACATCGCTGTTGGAAAAACATTTATAGTATTCTCTCGGGCTTACTGAGCCAGCACAAGGCGAGTCGCAAGAAGTGGGCTCCCTAAGTCCGCTACAACCATCTGAGTTGAAGCGACTACTACAGGAGACCTATCCTGGGAGTCGATGACGTAATATCCAATACGTAAACAGATGCGGCCATGAAGGCCGTCCAGACCATGACTAACGGAAGGGGACGGGCCGAGGTAAGACACTTGGTACGTAGCTGGGAGCTGTTGTAAGGTTTTCTATATGTATTATTTATATAGTTTTGCCCCTTTAATCACATGAATCTACCAAAAAAAAAAGAAATTTACAACAACGGAGACGCCACAGACACTTTCCTCAGCCATTTTTTTTCAAAGAAACATCGTATTATAGGGTGTCACTGGAGAGGTGTAAAACCCCACTACTAAAGGAAAACTAAAAAGAAAACCTATGATAGACATTGGCTCAGGTGAGAAGGTGCAAACACCAATTCACGAAATCTTCCAAAGAAAAAAAAAGACTTCTGCCCATAATCAATGTCAATAACTCGAAAAAAGTTGACTCAATTTCATCGGCCCATAGGATATATTTTCCTGAGGGCCCGTGACCATTGTTCATTCGACAAGGCGGTAAGACGTACATTTGTCCCGAAGCAAATAAACCATGCGAACGACTTTAACAAGCCCATCAAGGTTTCTTAAATTATCAAGAGAACTATTTAAAAGAGCTAGCATCTCCCTAAAGTGAATTTGAGCTTGAACGACGATCTCTTGCCACCAGAAAGGCGCGGTTCACATTCATTGTAGAGGTGGGTTAACTTATAATCGCTATAACATCTGTACAAAAACAGCCTGCATTCGAATCTTGACGCCCCATTCAAAATCATGAAAGAGAACATATGAGCCATGATTGAATAGATGGATGGCGGTGAGATCCTTTTGTACCAGCCATTCTTGTTTGTATAAGTCTTTTCAAAGTTTTCGCCAGCGTTTCATCGCCTTCACTTCGGGGCAGATCACAAGGAAATGCCCTGGGCGAAGTGACGGAAGTTCTTCCTTTTTTTTTTGGTAGATTCATGTGATTAAAGGGGCAAAACTATAAAAAAGACATATATAAAAAACCTTACAACAGCTCCCAGCTACGTACCAAGTGTCTTAGCTCGGCCCGTCCCCTTTCGTTAGTTACGTCTTGGACAGTCCTCATGGCACGTATCTGTTTACGTATTGGATATTACGTCATCGACTCCCAGGATAGGTCTCCTGTAGTAGTCGCTTCAACTCAGATGGTTGTAGCGGACTTAAGGAGCAGCGATTTGTTTTCGGCCTTCACTTCGGAGATAATTTTAAATCCCTGAGTTTACACCTCAGGCGGTCACAATGTAGAAATGAAAACAATAAAGCAGATGTAGACCGTAAGACACTACAGTTGAATTTGTTTTCAATATAAGTTTAGAATTAAAGGATTACATGAAAGGGCGTGTGGCGCAGTTGGTAGCGCGTCTGCTTTGCATGCAGAAGGCCATCGGTTCAAATCCGGTCTCGTCCAAAATTTTTTGGAAATAAAATGAGAACATTTTTGGCAAAACAATTGTTAACCACAGTGTTCTTTCCTATTTATATGTAGATCGATAGTCTTCAAGGCTGAGCTTGATGAGATATAACTTAAATGAGATACTGTTCATATTTCGCTCACGCACAAAGTTTCGTATCCAGCTTGAGGCCAAGTTTATTGAATTCTTTGTTGGTCGTCATTATGTAAAAGTGAAAACAACCTTTTTGACCTCTCCCCTCTCGAATCTCTCATAGCACAGTTTGGCATCATTTATGGGACACTTGGTATCAATCAAACTAATTAGATCGCATTTCAATTCCTCAAAAACTCTAAGTGCTTCATGGAAGAGAGACCAAGCATTGCATCTTCCGAAACTAATTGTAAGACCTTTCACGTATGATTCAAGAGCATTAAATGGAAAAGGGTCATGACCCATACCGACAGAGCTGATAAAACCTCCCCTTCTCACATTAAAGAATGCTGTCTTCAAGGCAGAAGTAGCACCCACTATTTCTAGGACTGCATCAAACCCTCTATTGTCGGTGATTGATTCTCTTAAAGAATCCAACTTACCTGTTTCACTTTTGAAATTCACGGTTTCAACTGCACCAAGCAACTTCGCATGGTTCAATCTGTCTTCAATCCCATCAACTACTACGATATGTTCGAAGCCGAAATGTTTTAAAATCCTGACGGCGCAAAGCCCCACTGGACCTGCGCCGATTTGTAAAACTCTGATAGATTTCCGCTCCATGTTGTCCTGGAAGTGATCAATAATTTTTTTCACTCCGAAATACCCAGTGACAAAAATGTCTGCCATAAGCACGTACACAGAATCATCTATATTGTCATTTGATGTTGGTTTTTTCACCAAAGTTGTCTTTGCAAAAGGTACCAAAACATACTCAGCTTGACCGCCCTCAAGGCCTGCTTTGCCGAAAGTGTTGGTTTGATCACATGTGCCGGAATACCCATTTTGGCAATACCAACATTTTCCACACTGAATGGTGAATGTTGCGATAACATCCTCGCCAATCATGAAATCTTCGTCTTTTATGTCAGAGCCCCTCTCCACCACAGTTCCCAAAAATTCGTGACCCATGGTGCTATTCTCTTTCAGTGGGATATGTCCGCGGTAATAATGAAGATCTGACCCACAAAGCCCTGAAAATTTGACTTTTACAAGCACATCTGTCGGCTGAGATATCTTGGGAACCTCCTTCTCGATTGTTTCAACAAGATAGGGTTTCTTAATAACAGCAGCTCTCATATTTGATTCCAGGGAAGAAAACGTACGATCTCTTAATCGAATCTCAATTCCGCGGCATTTTGTGGGGTCAGGCTGGTCACGTGTGTAAGGCCGAGCTTATCAGTTTGGAAAACCATTCGTTTGGGGATGTATACCCGAGTTTCCAACGCGAGCAGAGAAAACCTGCGTTCACAGATATATATATTTAGATTACTGTGTATAGCTTACAACAGGGAAAATGGCAAATAGTAGCAAGCGGAAGAAGCGAAGACAAGCCACTAGTACATAGTACTTGGCCAACACCCGATTTGACAGTCATTGATAGCATAATAATTTCCGGAAATTACATTCGGTTGTGCAAACTCCAGAAAAGGGGCCGCTTTGGATGTACCAGCTAAAGAATTGTTGCTGGTCCATTCCACAAAATCTTGACTATTTCGATGAAAATTTTTGCAAGTGGTAGTTGCCTCTTCCATGAGATGAAGGATGCCAAGGCAAAAATGTTGATGTAAAGGATCTGTGCTCCCAAAGCATATAGGATGTAGAATACAATGGTCGCAGAGGTGAAACAACTCAGTGGTAAATAGTCCCAAATTGGATAAGAGTGTTCCAAGATCCCTGATAGCTTAAAAATTAGAGAATCGCTATCAAGCTCACACAAAACAGTGCCGTTGACATTGTTGTATGATGCTTGTATTTTGAGCGCGACGAGGTCAAACAAATACTGTTCAATGTTCTCCATCTCCACTCCCTTAGAGTCTCCTGATTTGATAGCCGAAACAAATTCACAGTGTCTAGATAGAAGAAACGGGTAGTTTCTCGAGGCAAATGTGAGAATGTCTGAAGAGAAACTTTTCAGAAACGTGATCATACTGCCACATGACGCGATGCTCGAAAATATGAATCGTAGCCATATAAATACAGACATCACATACAAAAACGCCCGGAAGAAACGTCGGGCCAAGTTTGATGCAATCTCAGTTGTACGTAAAATTGCTTGCCGGTAGCTGGACGGTCTGTATCTTCTCCACAAAAGACTGTAGTTGACCACCGGAAGTGGTACAAACCCGAAACACCGTACTTGGCGTACAATCCTTTCCCTGTTTTCATGTCCATATTGGGCGGATCTTTCTAGTTCTTCTATAGCTCTTGTCGCATCTGGCTGTGCGGGAACGACATCATGGTCATCAATGAGAACAACCGGAATTCGGAAGTCGTTCATGACATCAAGTGCGAAACCCACCGGCCGAAGGAATGGCTCAAAATCCATCTGTGTGATATTAGTCTTTTTATTAGATAGAGCTTCGAGAAAGGTGATAACCCTCCTAATAACAAGTGGGTGTCGTTTCAAATGATTGTCGCGTGAAATTGGGGTGCTCAGATCATTTCCTATTTCGCCCGCGGCTTTCAGAGTAGATCGGATATATACCTGCATCTTATCAGAAGAGTGACAGTCCCTCAATGCATTCCACTCCAATTTTCAACTTCCTTGTTTCGTCATATGCCGTCTCTTGCAAACAGCTTTTGCTGCGTCTCGTAGTGATCGATTGTTCTGGAAAATACGCTGTCTCACACAATATAGAACTTGGATAATCGTTTTGAAAATAAGCAGTCCAAATAATAGTTATTACCGGAACCATTCACCATTGTGGGTCATCCGATGTAAATAGTCTTTTTCTCAAGATAAACCTTGAAAATGCTGCTTCAAAGTGTCAAGATTCCCTACTAAAGGTCTACCGTGTTATCCCTTTATGATCTGATTTTTTGTATGATTTCCTAAATCCTCAATGTCATAGCGTACCCAGGGATCCAGACACATGACCATAATTCACACATCCAAATACTTGGTAACCTGCCTGATCTCTTCTGGAACTGCTCCTTGCGATTTACAAAATGTGGAGCTCCACAACTCTGCAATCTCTTGGCTTGAGCTCATTAAGTGACAAAGTTCAGTATCGGACATTGGTTCCTGCGGACAATTTAAATTGTCGATATCATGCACCTTATCCAGAACAAAGCTTTGAGGGTCGCGAATATAATTCTCGAGTAATAAAATATCGTTGTCGCATTCTATTGTTGTGGGCAGCAAATGTTTCGGTTCACAATGCTCTATCTTCGACACCTCCAAACACATACCAAGTAATTTGTCCATGATTTGGGGTGCTTTTCTGACCGGAGGCCATATCATCATGTGGCAGTCTGAGCTATGTTCAGATAGGGTGAAAAACAGCTGGTGCAGGAAATAGAGTTTAATCGTGAAGAATAATAAGATCACACGAAGATCAATACCCCCACTAAACATGAGACACCAGATGAGTCGGTCATAGTGAAGAGCAAGACAAGGATTATCTACCGGTTGTAAAGCAGATGAAAGCACATATTTGCGGGCTGTCTCGAGCATATCCTTCCGACTAAAGATCTTGCCTTTGCACATCTCATTTTTATGGACAAATAAAAGTTTTGTGGACGAAAAATCTGCCATTGCACGGTGTATATTGCCACAACTTGCAAAGAACAGGCTTTGCCGGAGGGCCGTAGCGCGAGCAACTTGATGAAAGGAATTTGTGATTGGGTCAAGCTCTCGATTGCCTGGACAAGATGAGGATTCAGGGTAAATGAGCTCATTTAAAAGACTCTCAACAAAGGTGTCTCCTGTACTTTCAGAGAGATGGTTTGAGGCAATCATTGCCAATGTTTCCTTTTCATAGTCCAGTATACCTCTCAAGTGTGAAGTGCCATACTCCAATCGTATGCTATTAATCCAAAGAATAGCACGTGTGCAATAATCAAGAGCCTTTGATGAACTGCCCAATAGGTGATGGTAACCCGCAAGAGCTGAAATCTCTTGTGCAGCTATCAAATTTTTGGTTATGTCTTCACATGGAACATAAACGGCATCCATACATCTTTCTTCTGCGAGTTGAAAATGTTGCTTCATTTTCTTCAGCCGTAGTGCTTCTGTGATGTATACCGTCGAGCCGCACTTTGCAATCATCAGCAAAAGTACCAGCTCACAACTTTTGGAGTGGTGCAACTCGCTTGAAACTTGTCTATCTTCTAGCGATGTAAATAGATACGAATGGGGATGAAAAAAGGCACCACTCATGAAAAAGTCAGCATCGATGTCTCCTTCTAGTTTTTCTTCCTTTGTGTTTTGGGGTAGAGGCTTGAGCATTCGAAAGACTCTATCGTCAAAATCACTCAAGCTTTGCCAATACTGAGCTTCGAGATCAAAATCAACTAGCCCTGTAAGCTGGTGTAAACACAATAAAACACATATCTTGTAAAAGGGGTCTATCGTTGATTCTAATTTTGCTCGAAGTGTAATCACCGCTTCTCTCGTTCGCCCAATGCCTACTAAGGATAAATAGAGACATATGGTATCAAGGTCAGTGATGCAAAGGGAAGCGCAAACGATTATCTGGTGGTATTTTCGGTGTCTGTACAAAGCCAAAAAGTCCATATAGGATATACTATACACAGTAGATCACTCGAGTGTTGTTGATGGGATAAGGAAATAAAAAGTTCTTAGACTTTGTGACTGCAAATTTTCGCGTGCATAGAAAGACTGGGACATGTGAGTGAAAGCCAATCGAAAGGTAAGGCGGGACATGTCATTCTGCAGAAACACGTGGGTGTCTTATGAAAAGTGACCAGCAAACGCGGCACAGATTGGGATTAAAAAAATGCTGATTGTCATGAACATTGGGTTGTGTTGACCCTGGTTGACTTGAGTATCCCCCAAAATCGTGACAATGTCTCGCTGGCGCCGCAAAGCTAATCTCGCATTAGAAAAGTCTTATTTCAAACACCCGCGCCTGACCTTCGATGAACAATTCGAAGGTGAGCAGCCTGGCATCTAGTTCAAATCTCAAAAACGTCAGCGGAAAGCTGTCTGGTACTAATCGTTGGTTTAAATTATACTGTTCAAGCTGATGTAGCGTGTCGCCTTTTCCATCCTAAAAGGAGTGAACACGTCTTGGCACTTTTTTCCCAATTCAGATAGCATGCTGCGCGCGTCTCCTTGTGTTAGTGACTCGGATGGAGTTGTTTCACCTACATCCAGGATCATACAAGGCCCACCTCATGGGTCTGCTATACTTCCTTCACAAGCAATGGTCATTTTAAAATTAATCTTTATCTGACGATGTTGAGAGAAGCGACTGTCGAGCGCCTCCTTTTTTACGATTTGTTGGGACTTTTTTTTTCTTGTTTTTTTTTTTCTCTACTTAAGCTCCACTAATCTCACTCACTATGTCAGACCACAGAATTTCCCGACGCGTCTTGGACATTGCTACTGTCATACATATACCTCTATCCTTGGATACTTGTTGAACACTTGAAGCCAGTAAAAGCCAATACATTGTGAGATCCACAAAACAAAAACTTTTGATTTGTCCCATTCGTGACAATAAATTCTTCTTTCAGATACAGCCCCTCTAGCGTACGCCGCTGACGTTTACTACATCTTGTATAACTACCGAATGGAGAAACAAACAGACCGGAGAAAAGATACCAAAAACAGAATGCTTAAAGACAAGACACTTTCGCTCAAGTTGAACAAATCATTCCAAGTCCCTGACGGACCCTTCACGCCCGTGGAGCAGACACTTCAAACACCGGTCGCCGCTCCAAACCAAAACTCTTATTTTGCCTTTCCCAGTCTGGATCTGCACCATGGACTGTCGTTTTTCTCTCAAGCACAAGACAATGAGAGTGACGATGTAATGACCGATATTGACGAGGCCCCGTTGCTGCTGTTGCCCAAGGTGCTTCGCAATTACTCTGTCTCGTTCAACGCTTCGTTCGACCAAATCCTTATGACTGTGTACTCTCATATTTTGCTGCTACCAACCACAACGCCATTTCTGGGTCTCATTCCACCCCTGGGGCTCGCCTCTCGTGTTGCCAACGAGACTTTGCAAAGGATGATCTTGGAGTCCGACCCTATGAGTGGCAAACATCCCACAGTCTTCGACGCACAGGGGACCTTGAACAACGAACAGTTAAGAAACAATGCAACCGCCCCCATAGTTTTGCAGCTTATCCGGAAAAGGTTGTTGGACCTATGCTCTGCGCAAAAGGCCCCGAAGTCTAAAAGCGGCTCGGCTCCTGTTTCTGCCGTGACGTCAATTCAAATCGCAGTTCCTGCCACGAGCGGCAGCCAAAACATTCAAAACAACTCTATCTACAGCGGGCTGGGATTGAGACAACTGTCGATTTCTACCTTGCTGTTGAATGAGCAAAACACCGCAAATTACCAGCAAATGCAGACAGGGCAAGCTTCGCAGTCGGCAGTTCTTGCCAATTCTAGACTGCGCTCCTCTTCGCTTGACTTGCGTAAACATTCCTTGACGAGAAACAATTCCCACACTGGCTCAAACTGGCTTCATGTAGGGAACATGGCCAATGTTCGTTCAGGTGGAGGTTTGGGGATGAACCCAGAACTTGCTTCATCTTCTGATTCATTACAACTGATGAATGACTTTGTTCCTCACGCATTGCTAACGAGGACTGGCAGCTCTCTGTCCAACATCGCTTACAATCAAGGCCTGGGGGCTGCTTCAGGCTTTAACCCAATTATGATGGATTACCAAACCCCTCCCACCTCCTCCAAGAGCTCAATATCTCAAGGAAGCTCTTCTCCGTTGGTCAACCAAAGGGAAAACGCGTGCTTGTATATTCCGGGGTCGGCGGGATCCTTTTCTGATATTGAATCAAGTGCTGCATACTCAAGAACGCAATCCTTAAACCGGGACACAAATCTTTGTTCTTTTCCGACACCTCTTAGAATCAATACAGATGTAGCTCAACAGAGCTTTGGTGCTCCACAAAATCCAGGATTCGGTGGGAATACCAATGGCGAGGTCCTCCACTCCCCTTTCGTGTCAGCAATTCCGGTGGCTGAAGATTTTGATTACTTCGGTCAAAGCAACTCTTCAACGAGCACTGTTCCTGAGAACGTCCTGCCCAAAGTAGGAAGCCTTCGTTCTGGCTCCCTCGGCTCAGACACTCTGGTTAAAGAAGCGAGTGAAAACAAATTCAATATCCAGCTGGAGTATAGCTTGAGTGAAAAGAAAAGAGACTCCCTCAAAATGAAAAGAGGCATTCTTTGATGAAAATTGTTATATATAGTCATCAAAAAAAAATCGTATCCTTTGGGTCTTTGAACATGTAATTTCTTGTTTTTTCTCAATACAAGTCGCATGCCCCTGTAATACATCGAGCATGGTCCTACCTAGCTCATTCTGTTTTTTCCCGGATGTGAAAGATCTCTATAAATGTTGATATTGCTTACAGGTTCGATATGACAAGGGGTTGGAATATCATGCATCATATAAGCTCTGAAATCGAGGCAGTCTAGCATTGGGGCCTTTACAATAGCTGTTTGTTCATGGAGCATCTGAAAACCATGTGGTTGATTTGGTCGAAGTTGTGCTTTCCCGAAGTTCGTATGCAATCTGCACCGCTGATTTTTAAAACATGTTCGATTGAAAGAACTTGTATAGCCCAGTTGGATATATAATGAGTAAGCTATAGACGAAGACAATGGACGAAACACTCTGTCAACCTGTATTTGTTTCATGTCTCAACTCAATTTTTGATCGCAGGTAATTTTGAATTTTTAATAATCATAACAATTCTTGCATTTTAAACTTTGTTATCTGAAGCTCCCTTGGAGTTGCCAGGAGTTTTCAACATGCAAAAATCCAATTTAAGACAAAGGCCTAAAACAGGTACAGAACGTTGAATCAGAATATCCTAAGAGTTTAGAAAACTGATATAAAACAAGATTTGGAGCTTTTTCACTTTGGATATAACGACTTGTATCAAATATGTCACAGTGTATCCTGCATGACCATACGATTGTTTGATAGACACGGCTTCCGAAACGCGTAGACCTGGCGGCAGGAGAGCGATATCTCATGCGCTACAAATTATATTAGCAGGTGAAAGCACCATATACTGTTTGCCGTTCAGCATAAAATCAATCACCTTAAGTCTGCTCAAAAAGTTCCATGCGCTAGAAAACGTCTAAAAGAGCTGTATGCATATAAACAATAAGGTCATATATTCCATGAGCAGACTCTTGCCTGGAAAAAGGCAATCCATGATCCGGCCATCTACATGTAGACGAGGCTTGTCATCGAAACCCCTGATACAAAGCCATATAGTCAAATTCAAGATTCCCCAAACTGAACAGCATTTTCAGATCGAAAGGCCACTTTCAGATCGCTTTTCCACGTGGGAAACGGTGCAAACGTTCTTACCGCATGACAAAGTATCTATGGAACCCGCAAACAAGCATGAGTCTGACGTGTTAAACGCATATGGCCTTCAACCCGACGACCTTCTCATTGTACCCCCCCTTAAAAATCTTCCTAGCCCTTTTGACTACCACTCCAAAATCAATGGAGACAAGAGTTATGTTCACCAACCGAGGCTTTCGGTATCAAAGTTGTTGACAGATGCATGGTGTGAGTTGAGAAGCTTTTATGAAATTTATGCGGGGCTGCCTCGTACAAGCCCTCTGCCGACGATGAAAACTGGCACTGAATATCACGCAAGATTGGAGCTAAAAGCTCACCCAAAACGAGAAGTTGTGACGCTTAAAACACAAATCATATTGTTGTTGTCGAAATTATCCCCCGAAGTTCGAAATGAGCATGTAAGAACACGACATGGCAGTTCCTTCGCACAGAACTGGATGGAACAAACTGTGTATCGCTCTATCTGCGCGAGTCATACCAAAGTGGTAAGAGAACTATTCATTCATGGATTTTTAGACTTGAAGCTGGGTAATCTTGTAACTAGTCAGACGAAATTACGCGATGGGGTTCTCGTCAATGGTATTGCGGATATCGTTAGAATCGACGCTTTTAACGCGGTAGAATACATCAATGACGCAGGGTTGTCGAGTCCATTGCATGAAAGCCTGGTTGAAAGTTTGCCAGACGGAAGTACTGAATTTTCTCTGACTCCTGTTCTTGACCTTTCTGTTGAGATACCTAAAGCCAAGAAATTTATGACTAATTTGGCCCGTGATAACTTTTTGCACATGAGGGATGTCAAAACCAGAAAGCTGAATACTGTTCCTAACCAGGTTCTGGCAGTCAATGCCGCCAAATTGCAGTGCATGTACTACGCAATATTTCTACACAACCTTTCGAGGAGCGCAGAATTTGCGTATGCGAGTTGCTTGGAAAATCTAAAAACAAGAAGAATCGACCCTGATGAGCCCATCAGCATCGCGTTGGCAACCGAATTTCTCGTCGTCAATTTCAGAGTAGTTGCATTGGATTGCGTGCGCTTAGCCAAAGGCCAGCATATTGGCTTCCAGAAATTCGACGAGTATGCTCATAGACTGCTGGATTACTCTCTTTCTCACTTTGTTACGGAAGATGAATTCCGGCTTCTAATGAAGATTCATTACGGTGAGGAATTAGATATAAGTGACTTTGATTTGACGCCGTTATTCACCAATTGGAAAATACCCCTCACGCTTCGGTATGTTTCTGCTCGGACAGGTCAGGCATTCAATATTTATGAAGCGTTCGAGCCATCTTCCGTTTGTGTGGAATACCACAACCCGCTGAAACAGGAGATTATAGCTCGCATGCATTACCCGTTTGACAGGAATGAAATTGAGCAGTCTGTCGAGCAGTCGTGCAAATTCTGGAGCGGCCAAAGACGGCCGATTCACACCGACGACCCTTCAAAGTGCAACTACTGCAACTTCAAGAATAGATGTGCAGCGATTAATTCTGGAATCGGACTGGTTGCTGCCAAACTTATCAATGAACTCCAAGAGTAATGAATGAACTACGACGTACAAAGATGTTAGACGCCATCAAAGGTAATACCACACTGGTCTATGGCACCACCTCTGCAGACTTCTGGACACAAGTGCCAACTAACTAATTTACGGGTTTCGTTTACCACTTATATCTAGTGATGGCACATATGTGGAGATAATATCCCGTGGTGAAAAGAAAAATAGGGGTGTTTCACTCTGCAATATATACTCGACATTCTTCGGTAGGCGCACACCTAAAACATTACCCGGCTCACCAGGGCAGATTTACGTACGAGGGCCGCCGAGCAGCGTGGTGTGGTCGGATGGAGTGCAACAGTAGATTTCTTTAAAACTGAATTCATTTCATCTTGAAAAGGACCCGAAAGATACAAAGTCAAAGTCTGATGAGTCTTGGGTGTTTTGTCACAGTTTTAATATGAATAAGCTTTAGGAGTCTGGGGTAGTGAAGAAAAAGTCAAGAGTAGCCGGGATCCTTGGGCAAACCGGGATCATTGGACTAACTTTGAACGAAAACTCCGCAAAACTCCGGGTCGGTGATTAGAGTTGTGTGACCTCGAGCTGACCCCACAAACCGGAACATAACCCCACTCTTTCAAAACGAGAGATAGTCTCCGGTGCGCCCGAACGCGGCAATGCCGCCATGCAATTCGCGCAAAACATCTGCCCACAAGAGCACACAAATTAGATGGGAGAAGAAGAGAATAGACCTGATACTTGGAGCATTTGATTCCATCGACAGGAAAAAGTTATACACGGGCCGCTCCCCCACTGGGAGAAATATCGCTAGTGAACAATACGAACAGCGCGTACTCAAAGTCGTTGCATATGGCGGCAAAAGAGATGTGGGCTGAGTGAGGACAAAGTTTGAAAACCCAAGTTCCGGGGTCGCGAGTTTTTCGGCTTATGAATGGTTGATGCGACGTTTCAGTGAATTACGCTGTTCGAAAAGTATTTCCGGCCTCATCAAGCATGCTAAGAATTAATGGAGATATTGTATGCGTGTGCGCTTCGTATCCTATTGGTCTTGGGCCTTGAAATATGTAAATTCGAGACGCTGTGCTGGGAACAGCAATGTAGCGAGAAACACTTGAATGCAGAACAACAAACAAGCCAAACGTGGTGAACTTCCTCGGAGCCAGTGACATCAGTGCTCCGAACAAGTACGTCCGGCAACAAAGAAGAGCAAGAAGTCCCGGAAAATAAGAGCACCATAGCATCCTGGGACATCAGCCTAGTTTGTCTTTTCAGTATTATCGCATGTCCCAACAGCCGATATGAAGACACTGGATGGACCAAGAATTCCAAGAGGTTGAGAAATTATATAATGTGTCCAGCGACCAAAGTGGCCCTGCACCAAGAGGGGCTTGCGTGCGGCCCGTGAGTGATTTTCCTCACATCCACCTTCACGTTTTCAAACAGGAGCGTGATGGCGCAGGACCGTGCTCTAATTCGCCAAGTCCGAAATCTGGGGTCGGATAGATGCAGGACAGACCAGAGCCACGCTCAAAATCGGTTGGGGCAGAGTGTGTAAGTCCAGTAGTGACTGGGTCATACTCGAGAAGAAAAGGCATTGCACTGAGCGTGCAAGAGTCTGGAGAGACATTGAAGAGTATCGTGCTGGACGAACTGGGATCTCACGGCGCACGGATAAATCCGGGGTGAAAAATTCGAGTGCGATCTCGAGGGCCTCTCTCGGTGCCGGACTACAAGCAAGCATCCTATTGGCTGGGGCCAGTTCCGAGGTTCGCGTATGCAGATTTTTACGTAATTCTTTCCCATTCCGAGCCCGCCGTCGTTATATAAGGTAAATTCCCCAGCCCTCACAACGCCCCAGTATTTTCTTTTGAACCAGATAAACATTTCTATTTTTATCAATCACAACAAAATGTCTGCTGTTCGTTCCTTCCAGCGCTCCGCCTTGAGAAGATCCTTGGGTATCAGAACCTATGCCACCGAGCCAGTATGTCACTTTCCCACCTTGAGAAAACCTTCCCTCCAGACTTTTTGAAGTACTAACAAAGCAGATATTGAAGGCCCGTTTGGCCGAAATCTTGCCAGAGAAGGCCGAAGAGGTCAAGCAATTGAAGAAAGAACATGGCAAAACCGTATGTTGATCGTTTCCTTTTCACTAGAATACCCCCACACCCTCACGCGAGGTTTCTGCAAAACCCCCCAAACCGACCGAGTCTAATTGAAGCACTGGCTTTTTTTTGGGTTACTGGCAACCAGAAATACAGGGCTGCCACTGCCTACGTTGGTTGGTGTTGTTCCCGGGCCATGCTTGCTGACAGCCTCGGCTCGGTCTTTATTCGCCGGCAGAAGACGACGCAGTGCGCACCACGCGAACGGGGCAATATGCAATACCGGGGAAAAGTGCAAGAATGCCGTATACTAACAAGCAGGTCATTGGTGAGGTTCTCTTGGAGCAAGCATACGGTGGTATGCGCGGTATCAAGGGCCTTGTCTGGGAGGGTTCTGTCTTGGACCCAATCGAGGGTATCCGCTTCAGAGGCAGAACCATCCCAGACATCCAGAAGGAGTTGCCAAAGGCCCCAGGTGGAAGCGAGCCTTTGCCAGAGGCTTTGTTCTGGTTGTTGTTGACTGGAGAGACTCCCTCCGTGGCCCAAACCAAGGCTTTGTCCGAGGAGTTTGCTGCCAGATCCGCCTTGCCTAAGCACGTCGAGGAGTTGATCGACCGCTCGCCATCCCACTTGCACCCAATGGCCCAGTTCTCCATTGCCGTCACTGCCTTGGAGTCCGAGTCGCAGTTCGCCAAGGCCTACGCCAAGGGCGCTCCAAAGGCCGACTACTGGAAGTACACCTACGAGGACTCCATCGACTTGTTGGCCAAGTTGCCAAACATCGCTGCCAGAATCTACAGAAACGTTTTCCACGACGGCAAGTTGGCTGGTGAGATCTCCAAGGACTTGGACTACGGTGCCAACTTGGCCACCTTGCTCGGCTTCGGCGAGAACAAGGAGTTCGTCGAGTTGATGAGATTGTACTTGACCATCCACTCCGACCACGAGGGTGGTAACGTGTCTGCGCACACCACCCACTTGGTCGGCTCGGCCTTGTCCTCTCCCTTCTTGTCTCTTGCCGCCGGCTTGAACGGTTTGGCTGGTCCTTTGCACGGCAGAGCCAACCAGGAGGTCTTGGAGTGGTTGTTCAAGTTGAGAAACGACTTGAACGGCGACCACTCCAAGGAGGCCATCGAGAAGTACTTGTGGGACACCCTCAACTCCGGTAGAGTTGTTCCAGGTTACGGCCACGCTGTCTTGAGAAAGACCGACCCTCGTTACACTGCCCAGAGAGAGTTCGCCTTGAAGCACATGCCTAACGACGAGTTGTTCAAGTTGGTCTCCAACATCTACGAGGTTGCTCCAGGTGTCTTGACGAAGCACGGCAAGACCAAGAACCCATGGCCAAATGTGGACTCTCACTCCGGTGTCTTGTTGCAGTACTACGGTTTGACCGAGGAGTCCTTCTACACCGTTTTGTTCGGTGTCTCCAGAGCCTTCGGTGTCTTGCCTCAATTGATCCTCGACCGTGGTCTTGGCTTGCCAATTGAGAGACCAAAGTCTTTCTCCACCGAGAAGTACATTGAGTTGGTGAAGTCCATTGGCAAGAACTAAATCCGCGGATATTGATTCGCTTCTTCATGTCTATTTATTTACTGGTACATAAGTTTATCTGCCGATGATGTATTTAACGAGCTTCCGACCCCGTTGTAGTGTTTAGGTTGAACTGCCTTGCCCCCGTGCACCACGGTCAACCGCGTACTTTTTGGCATGAGAATTTCTCGGCTTCAACTTTGGCCGTTGCTCGCCCAATACACGATGTATTCTCTCCGGCGCCTCTCGCTGCAATCCATTAGCCAAGCAGCAGAAAAGGGCCCCCTGTACTCCAAAACTTTGCTTTTGCCCCGGACCTCATTCACGCCAAAATTGCCTTCTGCTGAGGAACGAACTCGTCTACTTCAAAAGACTGGCAGAGACTTATACCTTTGGCAGAGAAACAGGAAGGATGCCGCTGATGACTTCGTGCTACATGATGGCCCCCCTTATGCAAATGGGGATTTGCACTTGGGCCACTCGCTCAATAAGATTTTGAAAGACATCATCAACCGGTTCGAGTTGATCCACAATGACTCACGAGTAAACTATGTGCCTGGTTGGGACTGCCACGGTCTCCCTATCGAGAAAAAAGCGGTGGGGAATGACGAAAATCTCGATGCTCTCGAGATCCGGAGGCGATGCAGAGACCTTGCCCAAAGCATGATTGAAAAACAGAAATTGCAGTTCAGCGATTTTGCGATCATGACAGATTTGGATGATATCTACGTCACAATGTCTCATGACTACGAGAAGGCACAGCTTCAAATATTTCTCAAGCTCATGAGAAACGGCCTTTTGTCCAGGCAGCTCAAGCCTGTTTGGTGGGGCTGCGAGAACCAGACCGCGTTGGCTGAAGCCGAGTTGAGCTACAATCCCAACCACGAATCTGTTAGCATATACGTCATGTTCCCTCTTGAGAACTCGGAGCTTGTGTCCAAACTTGGAGGCGATGTCAGTCTTTTGATATGGACTTCCACTCCATGGACAATTCCTGCTAACAAAGCCGTGTGTATCAACAGAGCCATATCTTATACAACACTCCAAGATTCTGTAAGCGGCCGAAAAGTTTTGGTGGCAAACGAGCTTGCAGATTCAGTCCTAAAGCTTGATCAAAATTTCGTTAAAACGAATGATGTTGTGAGCGGCGCGGAACTCGAAGGTTTGCTGTATACAAATGCCAGTTCCAAGTCAGACAAGAAATTTCCCGTTCTCCATGGTGATCACGTTACATCATCTGCCGGTACCGGAATTGTTCACAATGCTCCGGCCCACGGTATGGAGGATTATTTGATTGGAAAAAAGCACGGTCTCACTATCGCCTCTGTTGTAAATGGGAAAGGCCATTACATTCAAAACCACCTTCCGCCAGGATTCCATGAGCTTTCCGACAAGCACATCCAGTCCAACAAAACAATCAAAAGAGTCATTGAGATTCTCGAGGAAAGCAAGATGTTATTCAAGGGCACCCACAAGTATAAACACTCGTACCCTTATGACTGGAAATCGAATGCTCCAGTCATTCAGAGAGCTACACCACAGTGGTTTGTGAATGTGGACAGAATCAAGCAAACTGCATTGGAGCTGTTGGAGGATGTAACTTTTGTTCCAGAGAGTGGCAGAAACAGGCTCTCAGCATTTGTGAAAAACAGAAACGAGTGGTGCATTTCGAGACAAAGGGCTTGGGGTGTACCCTTACCGATTGTGTACAACAAGGAAACCAATGAACCTTTAGAAGATGTTGAAGTCACCAAAACAATTGTGGAGAGACTCGGTGTTCTTGGTACTGATCAATGGTTCGTCCCCGAGGAGAACATTTCCAGATGGCTTCCAGATCATATCAATGGCTCGGAATATTACAAAGGTAAAGACACAATGGATGTTTGGTTTGACTCGGGAACTTCGTGGTCCACATTGATCAATTTGGATGGGAGGGCTTCCAAGAAGCACTTGGCTGATGTTTACATTGAAGGAAGTGACCAACACCGTGGATGGTTTCAGTCGTCTCTTCTCAACAAAATCATTGCTTCGGGAGACGGTGAAACTTTTCAAGCTGTGGCTCCCTATAAAAAGATCATTACCCATGGATTTACTTTAGACAAAGAAAATGACAAGATGTCAAAATCAAAAGGAAATGTTATCGTGCCATCAGAAATTGTATCAGGAGGAAAAAACACCAGTATACCCACACTTGGGGTCGATGGTTTACGCCTTTGGGTTGCTTCGTCTAACTACACTCAAGACGTGAGTGTAAGCTCAGAAGTACTAAGAAGAGTACTCGAGAACGTAAAAAAGCTCAGGGTCACTTTCAAATTTATCCTTGGAAATTTGCAGAATTTTGATGCGCCTGTTGAGCACGAATTGCTCAGCCCTCTCGACAAGTGGGCTCTCTCCCGCCTATACAAACTAGAGCTTTCGGTCATCGAAGCGTATCAAAACCATAACTACTCTAAAGTAGTGAGAGAGATCAATGCACACATGTCAAGTGAGTTGAGTGCAATATATTTTGATGTTTGCAAAGATTGTCTCTACACTCACGCAAAAGATTCACTTCGAAGAAGAGGAATCCAGACAGTGTTATTGCAGACTTTGAAAACTTATATCGGTCTTTTAGCACCCATTCAACCTCTTTTGGCTCAAGAAGCATGGGACGCTCTCAGCGATCAACATAAACCTGCACTTACCACATCTCCGTTTATGGCCTCTTGGACCTACTTTGCAACTCCTGCAAAGTATCACGATTCGTCGATTGAGAATGAGATGCAAATTATTTGGGCCATTCGTGAATCTCTCTCACGGACATTCGAGAACCTTAGGCTGCACGGAAAATTCAAGAATAAGCTCGAAGCAACAGTCTCCTTATATCTCAGCGACGATCTTGCTAAAGTGTTGAGGAATCACAAAGAATATTTGGAAGACTACTTTTTGGTTTCTAGTGTCAACCTTTCTGAAAAGAGAGACGAGCTACCCGAAGGGGATATCGAAAACAGGTTCTTCGTTGAGCTTCCGGATCGAAACATCATAGGTGTTGTGAGAAAATCTCCTGCTTGCAAATGCCCCAGATGCTGGAAGTACACTGCGAGAAGTCAGAATGAGGTCTGTGAAAAATGCGCAGATGTCATTTCATGTAAATAGAGCGAGAGCGAGAAATGTGCATAGTTCGCAACTTGAGATGGAAAATTCTTATGATACATTTTTGCGGAATAAAGTTAAGTGAGCTCAAGATTGCGCCTGCAAAGGTGCAAACCAACGAGAAAAAAAAGAATGGCTGCAAAATCGGATTCGGAGTGAAATCATAGATTTGTCGGTCAAAGTGACATTGCATACTAAATCACACCATTTAAAGCGTAAAAAAAGCCAAATTTTATACCAACGCGACATAGCATACAGGAAAAATATGAAGTATCTGAGCCGCAGCGTGCTCTTAGTGAGGGCTACGGCTCAACGACTTCATTTAAATACTCCGCCCAACTGATAATTTGAATAAATTCACCTATTCACTTAAAGCTGATACAAAGCGGGGTCTCAAGTCATCAATAAGGTGATACTCTAGCCGTCTTAAGCAATATATATTTCACGCCCTCGTCTTACAAGTGGGGCCTCGTTTCCGTTTCGCACCGAGACCATTAAGAATTTTAGGGCCAAGCATGGGCGGGTCACTGAGGAGACCACAACCCACGAGGATCACGAGTCACTTTCGTATCCAACATGTCGTTTCTAGAAACCATAGTATTTAATTCAAAGCAATCTGCAAAAATGTTGATACCTGAAAGGAGAGTGAAAACGTATCTACTAGTGTCCTGGGTGTATTGAACGATTCCATTATTGGGCGAGCGACACGAGAGGCGCGGCGCTGGCCCTAGGAGAGAAAAAAAAAGCGGACAGAAAAAAAAACAGAGGGCACCACAATTGATATCCTGCTTCTTTACGTGCATTACAGTGTGACTTAGACTGACAAACGCACGATTCTTCTTGTTGGCCTTTCCGCATCAGCGAATTTGATTTGATACTCTTGATTGATGAATGGCGCTTTGCAGAAAAAGCTACGAAGTTATTTAGAAGCCCGAAAGGTTCTACAGGCGCATTACCTGAGAGTACGGGAGAGTGCGGAAGACCTTGAGTCGAGGGAAAACATCGAGGCATTGTTTGAATTTGATCAGTTATGCTACTCTTACCATGCAATCAAGTCATACCATGATATCTCGAAGAGCGAATGGACCTTTACTGACCGTCAACCATTTGATTTGTTTGTGGACTTGATGCCGAAAGTCGAAGACAAACTCTACATACCTGAATTGTGCGCTCGGTACAAGGGCTTGCAAGTCTTGCGGAGGGAATTGTATGAGAGTGCAAGAGAAGGTGGCAGAATTGCCCACATGATAATGTCATCTTCGGGAAAGCCAGAGGACTTCTGCAGCAAAGTGGATGAAATCCTTGCAACATTAGATTCTCTACCTGTGCCCGACACAATGGGAAACTCGCTCAAGGCTTGGTCCCCTTCAGCATCACGAAAACTGAAGAAAAAGCAGGGCAAGTCTTCTGAGGCCATTGAAATTAGTGATGGCTCTCTGTCAGCTGATCATATGGACACCACCGGAAAACAAAGCGGCCAGCAAAAGCACACCAAAGGAGACCAATCCGCTCAACATTTGTTCTCAAGCTCTAAGGCAATTCATGAAACCCCAAGCATTGTCACGAAATCTCCCGCGGGCGATAAGAGTCTTTCAGCAGACCGCCAAAGCACGGTGTCTGTTGAGGTGATCTCTGATAAACCCGTGCCGTTCCAGTCTTCCATGTATACTACGGGTAGTATTCAACCAGTGTCGAAGTCAGATGAAGCAAGCAACGCCAATGCAAATGACAAGGACCTCAAGAATACACCAGAACCCACGCCCTCCTCATCGTTGCCACCAACAAATTCTCAAAGGCGCACATCTTCCGGGCCCGAAGATGCGGATTCACCAATGCGTAAAAAGAACAAACCGCTGCCTTATGCAGAATCAGGAAAATCCGTGACTCAAGAAAAAAGTCAAACCTCGACTACCGATAGTCAAGAACATCAATCACAGCAACCATCAACCATAAACGTGCCCACAGAACGACAAACACCGATACAACCTTCAAAACATCCGAAACTTTCAGTGACAAACAAGCCTCTTACAACAGCACTACTTGATCCGAAGAGTCAAAAAGCCAGTGATACAACCATCAAACTAGATCTTATTTCATTGAAGCATGTTGACCAAAACACAGAATTCATACGTGGTCGCGCCAGCTCTCTGCCGATTCATTCAATGAATAAGACCACACGCGAAAGCAATAGTATTGACTATTCTAATGCATCCAAAGCAGCTAACATGCTGGAATCATCGAAAAAATCTCCTCTGACACTGATTGAAAGTTCGTTTGCTCAATTTCCGACGTGGACTAAAGATTTTGTTCGCTGTATAGTGAGCGCCGCCGCATGCCACCCTGACAAACCCGCTGAGGCAATTCAAGCTGCCCTTGAGAAAAAATGTAAGATTCGTGTTCGAAGGGACGAGGCAGAAATGCTTCGCCTGCACTACGGCTTGAGACCAGAGACCATGGAAAAGTTCGAATATTATATCCAAGCGTTTCATCTCATAGCCAGTCAATTTAGTGAACAAAGAGCTAGATATGTTACTGTACCTTGGGCCGAATTGCGAGTTCAATTCACACGAGCGACTCAATTTCCACTCGAAGACTGGGATATCAGAGGCAGATACCACTTTTTCCTACTCCATCGTCGTGTTTATGGCAAACAAGGTGAACCATCACACAATTATAGAGACGACGTTGATGCTTTCAGAAAAAAGTACGCCTACCGGAAGTCTTCTGCATTTCTTAAAGGCAAGAAAAATTCATCTGAAGTGAGCCCAGCCAAAGCTTCCCCCACGACGTCACTCACTTTCGAGAACACTCCAAAAACATTTTCCATGTCACCCAAAAAGAACTTGAGATGGTCGCCAGAAATTTTCCAAGCATTGGTAGACGGCTACTGCGCGATTCCGCGTGAAACACCAAATAGGCTATTGGTTTTGACTCAGTATGTGTTTCTTAAAACCGAGACCAGAGTTGAGCAGCTGTTGCTCCTTGATATATCCAAAAGCAAGGAGTTCTTGAAAGAAATACAAAAGCGGTTACCTGAAGAATCTGAGTCATCAATTAGTCAAATTGACCCTTCAATCTTTGACCAATACAACAAAACTTTGTCCACTATAATCGCGCATACCCATCCTGACTCATTCTACTCCGCGATCATCAAAGATCATCACTTGACGGACTTTTGGGATTTTTCCAAAACGAAAAGTATCATGTCAACAGTCGAGTACGCGAGTAAGATAGATGCCAACACCAAGATACCATCTTTGAGAGTCATCAGGTCCAAAGTTTTACTTTACATTAGGGGGAGACTTCTTCGAGAACATCTGGTAAATGTCAAGGAAGAGACGGTGAGTAGGAGACTCGTCCGCATGATGGAATTGGACATGTTTGATGAGTCTCAATGTCTTTTGCTCAATGAGGTACTCCACAAAAATTAGCCGGTCTTATCAACTTGTCAATAAGCGAGACTTCAAGATAAAGTAATAATGAATAAGCTGGTGGTGTACCTAATTATATGTAATATATGATGCTAAATTAATTGCTTTGTTGAAGTCAGTTGTGGCTATACATCCGCCAATCATTTATTTCTTACCACTCATCAACTGGGTCAACAACTGCGAGCTGGACGATGGTGGGCCTTGCGAATGATGATGAATGATTGAATCTTGATTTTTTGCAAAAAGGCCCGGAGGGGGCGGGGTTGAGGTCTTGCTTCTCTCGCTCATTCTCAAGGCATTGAGCTGAGAAGCGAGTTGAGGCGCTTGGTTTACTTGAGCGTTAAGATGTCTGGGTGCCTGCTGTGGAGTTTTTGCCCCTTTCAAGGTTTGCTGTTGGAGCTGCATCATGAGCATTTGTTGCTGCTGTGATGTGGAAGTGCCCTCCTGAATTAAAGCTCCTCTTTCTTCTGTGAGCGGTACCCGGGACAGGCTTTGATTGGAACCTTTACCAGGTTGGACTTGTGTATGAGACTGAACCTGCTGCTGTTGCTGAATATGAGCTTGCTGGGCCAAAAACTGCAGGTGCAGATTCTGTGGTTGATTCAGGTATGCCAAGTGGTACTTTTTCATTGGCCGCAACAAGTATTTTTCGATGACATGTATAGCCAAAGCCTTTTCTTCAGCCAATGATGAGCTTTGGGGCTTGCTGAGTTTCTCATCATAGTGAAAGAACGGCGCAATGTTAGATGCATCGGTCAAGTTGTCGAAATGAACCTTGAGTTTCTGATTGGAGTCGGATAGAGCGCGCAATCTCTCACTGCAATCATCGACAAAGTTAAGAACGGAAACGTCCTCGAGGTCGACATCGTCTGGTAAGCTTGTGCCATCTTTATTGGATTTGCTCTTGCTTTTCTTGGGGTCCTTCTTTTGAGTTTTTTGCTCTTTGAAAATCTCACCCAATGAAGGAAATGCGGCCGCATTGGCCAACACTCCATTGGTGACAGATGGTGATGCGCTAGCCGAGTCAGATGCCAGAGTCTTGGCCCAATGAGCCGTGGCTGGAAGAATAGGAGCAGCGTTGCTGGCCACAGGGGTTGCATTGGAGGCAACGGCATGTGATGTCGATGTATAGCCTCTTTCATCGTCCAGTTGATTATCATCCTCACTGAAATGAAAGCTTTGCAAGTTTGTGATGCTGCCACTACGCAGACCGCTCATACCCATCTTGATGCCTTGGTGTGTGGATAAGTCCTTTCTTGTGTACGAGTCTGCCTCTTCGCCAGGCTCGTGCAAAAACATGCAGTTTGGGTTTGGGCAAGGATGTCCCCGCAAGTAGGACAGACAGTATTTTGTTGTGCCGTGTGCTGCTCGCAAAACACGCCCATCACACAACGATCCATCAAGCTCGTTGATGCATCTCAATGCATCATCCTTTTTGGTGAATGTGACATATACAACGATGCTCAGGTTGGAGCTCAGCGTCGCATGACCCGACGGCGACTTTCGATTGACAACAATTTTCAGGATCTTCCCATACTGTCCGAAATACTTGTCCGAGCGCAAAATCGAATGCAAGTCTTCCGAAGGGCAAGGTGGGTTCAAGCCAGTGACGTAAACCAAGTTTTTTTGCACGACGCGAAGCCCTGCCAAATGCTTCTTACTAGCAATTTCCAGCTCTTTCTTTTCCTTTTCCTTCTGCTTTTTCTCTCGCTCCCTTCTCTCTTTTTTGACCTGTTGGGATTTATACTCCTCCGCAGTCAATGTCTTATACTCCACGCTCTCATCGTCGTAGAGTCTTCTACACCCTGGACACCTGCCGTTCAACTCCGGGTTTTGCCTGATGTTATTGTAGCAGAACTGACAGATCTGATATCCACAAGGACATGGCTTGAAATTCTTATCGGAAATATCCATTTCCTCCACACATAATGGACTGCTCGGTGTTAGTACAAATCCTATTTGGTGCTATCTAAGGAAGCTTGAAGTGATCAAGCATTATTTTCAACATACCAGTACTCCACTTCCTCATCACTAATGAACAGGTCTTCTCCGGGGAACATTGTTTTTTCTTGGGGTGATTATCTTGTATGTCTCTTGTTGCCGTTGAATTTGACACTTGCTAGAACTACGATCGTTGGATTCGGCACGACTCACGTGACACGTGCAAGAAAAGTTCCATTGGCTTCTTGATACCAGAATACAATCCAAACACCCCCTAAATAAAGAGCAGTTTTACGTATTGAGCCCAGTATTATATGGAACCAAATCTGAAATCGTTTTAATGAAAATTTACGTATATCATCGCCGTTGCTCTGTAGCTCGAACTGATGAGGTGTACGGATTTAGGGCTCTACATATGCGCATACTTCTGAGGAAAGTCGGCTTCATTGAGCAGCTCAAGTATAAAGATAGAGATGTCGTTCTTCGTTGAACTTTGGGAGTCCATCTTCACGCCGGGGACTTCCCCTGCGCTCATGAAGGCTACTCATGCGTCATTCATCCTGCTTCTTTTGTCGTTGCTCTTTCTCATTTTCTACTCCGGCTCCATTCACTTCATAAATCTTTTCGTGATTGCGTCATGTTTGTATGCTGCTGTCATCTGGTTCGTAAATGAATTGAAGAATATCAAGCTCAAAGACAACGAGGAGTTAGCCAAAGAAACGGGGGGTCTGGTCAGCGTTCCAAGTGAGAAAAAGCAGGTAGAGTCGGGATCTACGAGCGGAGTGAAGAAACCAATCGGCGCGCCAACCAAGAGAAAGACGTAAACCATAAGCTTCGCGGCTAGAAGCGTATCATGGAAATCTATATCTTGTTAACCAAATGCATAATTCGTACCGATTTCTTGGATGCTTGATTCGTAGACCTCGCCAGATCCGCTTGTTACCATACTTCTGTAGAAAGGGGAGACAAGCGCGACAAGTCGAGACGGCCAATCGCCAAGATGGGCCATTTCCGCGATTCTCGCGAGTTGTTGTGCATCGCAAGTTGTGCGATACAAGAAGCAAGGCCCTTTCATTAATTCATACTTATACTCATTTGTTAGCGGCCTGAGACATCATCTAGTAACAATAATTGTGAAACTTCAGACTTCAGTGATGGGTTACACTTACGTAAAACTATCTTTAAAAGTACCGATAAGGCTCTCCCTTTTTCACTTTAGACAAGCCTGCGCTGCACATGAGATTACGCAAGGCAAGCATGCCCCAAATCGAATTTTGTAGTTATGCACGTATGACTTTCTCTCCTTTCTTTTTTACGAGTTGGCTGTCTCGAAAAAAAGAGCTGACACTCAAGGGATTTCCGATGTTTTGATTTGATGAGCGATACCGGCATGATCTGGCAGACGGGCTTTGCCCGATGACGCCAGCGTAAATAGTGCATCTGGAATGTACTGCCCGAAATTCGTATACAAGAAATGCGAGAGGGGTTCTGAGAACTTGGCGGAGTGGCTTTGCAAAGTGTATGGCAAAGACTCAGCTGAAGAAGGGGAGGGACATATAATATAAGTGTTAGGGACTTCACGGGACATAGGCGTTATGTATTACTATTTGATCACTGGTTTTCTCTAGAACTCTACAGGAGTTCTATTCCACCTTTATATACTTTCCCCAGAGGTCACGTGGACGGAACCTTTAGAACTCGAAAGAATATTCTATGAGTTGTCTAGAATGATATCTGACGGAACTCACAGTAATGGAAGTGCATATAGCCATATATGGGCTTACAGGGACCATCAGTGTCAAGCTGATACCAGGGACCTTCCAATAAGTTTTGATCTTATGCTTTTTTGAGTGGAGAGGATTAACTAAACGGAGGCTCCGGTGGGGTTGACCCCACCATCTCAATTTCGGGGAAACTTTGGTAATTGTGCAGTTTTGGGAGCGCACTGGCGGAAGTTCATAGCAAGCACATTTCAACTACATTTTTGAGATCATGACAGTACAAAGTCTTCGAAGACTATCCACCGAGCACATGTTAAAGCTCTCTCATAACTTCGTAAGGAAACTTGGAACGAGAATGAGCAAGTACTGGGTAGATTTCTGTTTTTCTCCACTTCCGAAGTTTTAAAATGGGACGCATTTACGTGGTGTGATACATAATTTCGTCATTTTGAGACGCCGCGCATCGGACTTTATATATGCAAGTTTGGTATACAACCGGGTAAAAGCTTGCGAAAAAACCCGCCATCCGGCACATGAAAATTCCCTGTCAAACAGAAAAACCATGCCACATTCGAATATTCTGTTGCGAGTAGTCGTGCCACCCAGAGGAATGATCACACTTAAGAAGACATCTGAAAATTCCAGCGAAACTAATGCCTCGAGCTGCCTGATAGAAAGTTCTGGTTTTTTTTTTTGGGGGGCTTCGTGTATAAAAAACCGCAATCGCGCGCCATTGCTTAAAAGTTTGCATGGCCCCGGTGGGGGTCTCCACAAGTACGGCATATACATCGCGAATATTCCGGCGCGTATTCTGGAGTGGGGACGCTTAGTGATGAAATTCGATTAACTGATCCTCACAAGGGGTGGGCGAATTTTAAAGACATAAATAGTCGGGTCCGCCCCGGTTTCGCTTAGCTGTGTTCGCTTATCCCAAATTCTCATATATCACACACGACAGTACAATTATGAGTATTTTTGAAGGAAAAGAAAGGAAAGGATCTTTATCCATAGAGTCTTCTACCCGTGATGTGAGAAACGACCACACTGAAAAAGTTGATCAAGATGCTCTCAGACACAACTTTAATTTTGATAAGGAGTTCGAGGACTTAGAAATTGAAGCCGCTCAAGTTAACGAACATCCCACGTTTGTAGATAGAATTTTGTCTCTTGAATACAAACTCTATTTTCAGAATAAGAACCATATGGTATGGCTTTTGGGTGCTTTTGCTGCTGCTGCTGGCTTACTATCTGGCTTAGATCAATCCATCATTTCTGGTGCTTCGATTGGGATGAACCGTGCCTTGAATCTATCTGAACGTGAAGCTTCCTTGGTCTCTTCCCTTATGCCCTTGGGAGCCATGGCCGGCTCGATAATCATGACTCCACTTAACGAATACTTTGGTAGAAAGTCCTCGTTGATAATCTCTTGTATTTGGTACACAATTGGATCTGCTTTGTGTGCTGGCGCCAGGGACCACCACATGATGTATGCTGGAAGATTTATTCTTGGGGTGGGTGTTGGCATTGAAGGTGGATGTGTGGGCATCTACATTTCCGAGTCTGTGCCAGCCAATGTTCGTGGTAGCATTGTCTCTATGTATCAGTTTAACATTGCCTTGGGTGAAGTCTTGGGCTATGCTGTCGCGGCAATGTTCTACTCTGTCACTGGCGGATGGAGATTCATGGTTGGCTCCTCGTTGGTATTTTCTACTATCTTGTTTGCAGGTTTATTCTTTTTGCCCGAGTCTCCCCGTTGGTTGGTACACAAGGGCAGAAATGGCATGGCATACGATGTCTGGAAGAGGTTGAGAGACATTGATGACGAAAGCGCCAAGTTGGAGTTCTTGGAAATGAGGCAAGCTGCACACCAAGAGAGAGAAAGACGGTCGCAAGAGTCTTTCTTCTCCAGCTGTGGGGAGTTGTTCGTAATCCCCCGGAACAGAAGAGCTCTCACTTACTCGGTTGTCATGATTACTTTGGGTCAATTGACTGGCGTGAACGCTGTCATGTACTACATGTCAACATTGATGGGAGCGATCGGTTTCAATGAGAAGGATTCTGTATTCATGTCTCTTGTGGGCGGTGGCTCTTTGCTCATTGGTACGATTCCAGCGATTTTGTGGATGGATCGTTTTGGAAGAAGGGTGTGGGGCTACAATTTGGTTGGGTTCTTTATTGGTTTGGTGCTTGTGGGTGTCGGCTACCGCTTTGATCCGGTCACGCAGAAACAAGCATCTGAAGGAGTCTACTTGACAGGACTCATCATTTACTTTTTGTTCTTCGGGTCCTATTCCACGTTGACGTGGGTCATTCCTTCTGAGTCGTTTGATTTGAGGACAAGATCTTTGGGTATGACCATCTGTTCCACCTTCCTTTACTTGTGGTCCTTTACTGTCACCTACAATTTCACCAAGATGTCTGCTGCATTCACATACACGGGGTTGACACTCGGATTCTACGGAGGCATTGCATTCCTTGGCTTGATCTACCAGGTTTGTTTCATGCCCGAGACGAAGGACAAGACCTTGGAAGAGATCGACGATATATTCAATCGTTCTGCCTTTTCCCTTGCCCGCGAGAACATTTCTAACTTGAAGAAGGGCATTTGGTAGGGGGAACGGTCTAGCTCACGCTTGGGGGTGTTTAGCTTATAGGATGATTTCAACAAATAAATATTTATGTATACTGTGAAACAACTGGATCACATGACCTTTCACGAGACGATGCAAGCTGAGGGAACGTAGAAATGGCGGCTTCGAAAAACAGGGCTACGCAAACACTTCCCGAATTGATGATCGCTTAATTCTAAAGGATGAAATACACAACACACGTCTCAGAAACGAATGTTGGTTGAGGATCGTTCCGAGACTTCAGGCCATTTAGAAGGGCCAAGGACAACATCTCGAATTCAGAACGCTATACAACACACTTGGAACAAGAACATCTTTCTGCCCAGCCGTAAAAAGGCTCTCAAGCCAGAGGCCAAGCCACCGAGGCGCCGTCACCGAGAACCACCAAGAGAGGATCACACTACGATTGCCGGCGCATACCGTTCAAAGTCAGCAGCCCACAAGTGCGCGAGACCCGGGAAGGCGCCTGCATGGGGCCCTGGGTCACATCCGGCACCGAGCGCATGACGAGGGAGCGGCATCTCACGGCTCATCGTTCCTGGCCCCCAGCGAACCCTGCAAAATGTCTTCACATGTGCACCGGATTCTCGGAGGGATCTACCTCCTGTCCATCGAGCCAATCAACGAGGGCGTTGATTTGCAGAAAGACTTCCAGATTGCGTCCGTAGTCTCTGTGGTCCCCGGCGAGGTGCCCGCGCACTTGCAGCGGGACTACCAGCACCTACAGATCGCCGTCACCGACGAGGACAGCAGCAACCTCCTCGACCGTCTTCCCGGGGCGATGGAGTTCATGGACGGCGCGCTCTTCGGGGGCGGCGGGGACTCCAGGAGGCACCTGGGGTCCGTGCTCGTCCACTGCGCGCAAGGGCAGTCGAGGTCAGTCACGGTCGTTGCGGCGTACTTGATGTACAAGTACAAGCTCAGCGTGGCCCAGGCGTTGCACGCCGTGCGGCGCAAAGTGGCGGGCGCGCAGCCGAACGAGGGCTTCCTCGAGCAGCTCCGCGTGTTCGAGGAGATGGACTGCGCGGTCGACAGGAGCAGCCGGCCGTACCGGCAGTTTGTAGTTTCCAGCAGCTTGCGGCGGGACCCCTCGGGCGGCCAGTTGCGGCAGCAAGGCGTATGGCCGGGCGGGCGGGCGCCCGCGCCGGCGGCCGGCGGCCCTGCGGGCCGCCTCCATCTTCGGTGCAAGCGGTGCCGCGCGGTGTTGGCGGCCGACGCGGACATCGCGACGCACGAGGCGCCCGGCGCCGGGGCGCGGC